ACTCCTTATAGTTTAATCCTTATAACAACAATTTTATACATGAGAAAACTAAAATACTTACCCAAAGTCACCTGGTTTGGAAGTGGCAGAGACAGGATTCAAACAAGGGGAGCTGATGCTTGCTCTGCAGTGGATGTCAACCTCAGCTGCTTATTAAAATTATCTGGAAGTTTTTAAAAATCCTGGTGCCTAGGGTACCTGATGCACCTTGTCAGAGTAATTAAAGCACAAACTCTGGGATGGGATCCAGACATCAAAACTTTTTTAAAGCTCCCCAGATAATTCCAATGTTCAACAAAGGTTGAGAGCCATTATTTCAATAGGATCCCATTCCACTCAAAGTAAAAACCAAAGCCCTTACACAGAGCTATGCACCTCACCTCCTTCCTCAGCCCATCCCAACCCTGAGACTCTTCATTCACTCACCCAGCCACTTGGACCCACCAGATAAGCTCCCCACTCGGAGCCTTTTAACTCAAATATCACTTTCTTTAATGAAACCTTTTCTAAGATCGTATCTAAAACTGCAAATTTTCCAAACTGGTCCACCATTTCCCTTCTCCCTTCTCTGCTTCATTCTTCTCTTTAGCATTTATCAATATATAACAAATGATACAATTCAGTATTTACCTGTTTTCTTGCTTGTTTTCCCACACTGGAATGTAGACTACGTGAAAGCAGAAAATTGTTTTATGATATTAACTATGTTTATGCCTAAAACATTTGGCACATGCAAGGCACTCAAAAACTTCTTGCAGAATGAAGTTTGACCCATAATTATTGCATCAAATATTAATACTGAGGTTTCAAGACATAAAATTGCTTTTTCCTCATTAGAAAGGAAACCATTTAGTAGATTTAATTGGTTTATTTACATGATGGAAAGAAAACAAGGCCAGAGTAGGGACTGAATTCAAGGCCTTCATACTGAGTTATATCCCCAATTCTTTGTTTACTTTCTATTTTGAGACAGGGATTCCCTAAGCTGCTAAACTGCCCAGGATGGGTTCAAATGGGAATGGTTCTAGGACCCCCACAGATACCAAAATGTGTTGATGCTCAAAGTCCCTTACATAAACTGGCACACTTTATATATAACCTATGCACATCCTCCCTATACTGTGAAGTATCTTTACTTATAACAATACAACACAAATGCTATGTAATTAGTTGTTCACCTTATAATGAAAAAAGCCTATTTATGTTCAGTACAGATGAATTTTCTTTTCAAGTATTTTCACTCCATCGTTGGTTGAACTGAAGATGCATGGGCAGATTGTGTAAGAATTAATCTACACAGTCGGGCATGGCTTCCTTTCCTCCCTGCCACACACACACCTCAGTATTCTCGTACCCTAACCATCACCTTACCGTCCTTGCCCTCTACAGAAGCAGATGACAGAAGGGGAAAGAATTACAAGTCTCCCAAGTTTTCAGGGAGAACGGGGAAAGGAAAGAGACATACTAAAAACAGTGGCAAGGCCTCCACGAGGAATTCTTCACCAAGACCTTGCCTAGAAAAGGGGAAATTGGCATCTCACCCTGCAATCCAATGTCTGGCTATGCAGTAGACCAACAAATAGAATTATGAGAAGTGGCAAGACACAGAAAGAGGGTAGACATAAACAGCCTGCATGCCACTATTTGACACTAGAAGGAAACTATTTTCCAGTATGTTGAGGGGCAACTGTAGAAGTAACTGGACTCAAGTAGTCTTGTTGTTAAAAGATCCTCACCCCAATTCATCCCCATTTATTCACAGAAATGGGCAGGCAAGTATACAGGTTAGTTTGGTTTAGCAGCAGAAATTTCACATACAGTAACTATGAAGTAGGGTACCTCCCTGAAAGATCTCCCCAAAAACGCCAGTTTCATAGTCTATCAGTGGATGTTAATGGTCTACCACTGTGAAGAGATGACTTTAGAAAAACCAGATAAAAAATACTTGCCTTTTTCTATTTTTCTTCTCACTAGTCTCTGTCCAAATAGATTCCCTAAGAGGAAAATGAAAAAGGTATTCTAAGATCATACCACAATCCTTTCTTACCCTAAATGCTTTAGGCAGTAAGTAGCCTGCATTGTGACAAGGAAGACAAGAAGTTCTACACTGCATATGAGATTGATGATTTAAACTGGAATAGATTGGACTGGAGATTTTAATAGCTATAAATGATAGAAAAGCTATCATTTACCCATGATTCCATGAGGCAGGAGGAAGGAAGGGAGAAGAAAATGCTACATAGAACAGTTAAGGGCTGGGGATTTAGCTCACTGGTGCAGCGTCTGCCTCACAAGTACAAGGTCCTTTGATGCCCCATACCAAAAAAATAGAATAGTTAAAAGCAGTGAACAATGAATATTTAAACTGTTTTGTTTGTTCTTACCACGCTTTAACTGGTCAATAACCTAATGACATACGGAACTTCATTACCACCTTTAGAAATGGGAGGGAACACCTGACATGGAAATTCTCAGGGGGGATTTACTGTACTGGGTTAGAAGCCATATTAGAAGCCCTATGAGATTACTCCCAATTCAAAAGCCTGTAGCTATCTTCTCTTAAAGAAGAGGCTAAAATGAATCCAGAATCTAAAACTAAAACTTTTAAAATGTCGGGCTGCCTAAAGGGGCTTTTTGAACAACAAAGATATCAGACTGACAAGTCTGATAAGAGTTTCACTTAGAAATAATATTTTACTTTAAAACTATTTTTAAAATTCTAAATGACTCTAATTTTCTTTTATATTCAACAAAACATCCAGTTCAAAGAAAGCTTAACATAAAATCTCCAAAACACCATCTTACTGAACCAGAGCTATACAACTATCCAAAATGCTTAGTAAAATAAGCAGCAGAGAAATGTTTGCTTAAATACTTCTAGGAATTACAAATTCACACATTCTTTATCACAGGGTACCTACGAGGAAAGAAATATTACTTAGGGTTAAATGATTTAAAGTTACTCTTTAAATGTAACAATCCTGATGCTACAGTAAATATCAATAGGGTTTCATTTTTACATAAAAACATCATATATATACACATGCAATTAAGCATTATAAATATCCAAACCTACTGAAAGTTTCTGCCCCATGAAATATTTTGAGACTTCATGTCAATAAATTTTCAAATGCTGTATGCCAAAAATGGTTAAAAAAACTAAAACTATATTTTAATATTTATCTCCTATTGAATCTATTTTACTACATCTTGGTAATCTGAAATGCAATAAATCTGTAAATTTAAAATTAAGTGTTAGTATTACCAAAAGTAAACTATTCAAGATTGTTAAAAAAGTAATTGTGCACTATAATCAAATGGGGGATGGGAGCTACTGCTATATACTGGAAATTTTCTATCTAACAAAGGCAGACTGTAACCACTGTTATATCTGAATAATTATTAATTCTGTTCCGAAAACTATCTCCTGTATTCTTACATGGTAGAATTACCTAAACAAGAGTAAGAATAACATCAAACAATATGTCAATATCAAAGTCTGACTTAAATTATGCTAATAAATTACTTCAAAGGATTTCATTCTGAGTTACAAACTATAACTGACAATAACTGCAGAATATGCACTGTTAAGAATAACAGTAAGGAACTTTCAGAAAGTCATTTTCTGAAAAGCTCTATAAAATGCTTGTAGGGGGAAAATCCTTATTAAAATGTTTCCTCTTTTCTCAAGTACCTTCCTATGAATTCTTCAATAATACAGTATCTCCTATGTTATCAGCCAACAACTGAATATTGCCTACAATGACTTCTTAAAGAAAAGATCCCAATGCTATTCTTAACATCCTTAAATACTTCTAAAAAGGTCCTTCCGGCTTATGAACTCAGAGCAGTTTCCTCACAATTGTATACTTATCCTGTTCCACTGTCTCTCCTAGTCTATGACATACTCAAATTTACACACCACGTCTATTTCCTATTTTGCTACATTGCTAAAATTGGAACGAAGAAGAATACAAACTCACTACTCCTTCCCACCCTCAAAGCAACAATAAAACTATTAATTAACAAGTCAAAATGAGAATAAAAGCAACATATATGACACATCTTAGTGTGGCAGAAATTATCCATTGCTTATCCTAAAGGATAATTCACAGCCATATACAACATACAGTACCTTAATACAGATATATTATTCAAAAGAAGCTGTTAATGGAAACACTGTACAATTTATAGCACTATAAAATAAACTAATAAATTTTGCCAAGCTTAATGTTCTTCTTTAACTGCATCAGTATTCTAAAATGTGATTTCTCTTGAGACGATCTGGCCAAGACAATGAATAGTGAAGCAAACTTATCTGGGAAAATATTTTGCACCACAAGTGCATCAATATGAAAAATTACTAGTATGAAAACAGGTACTTTAGTCAGAATAAATCTTTTTATTTTTGAAAGAGTAGTGCTTTGAAAATTTTCAAAAAGTATTTTTTTGGCAAAGTTTTTCTCTGAATCACGTTAATCCTCAAACTTTGCTGTAAATTCTTTCAATGGCATTAAACATAGTATGAAAGTGAGTACTGGAAAATAAAGGCGACTGCTCAGTAGTTTTAAGATAAAAGACAATAGTATAAATCTCAGAGTGTGCTATTTGTTCCAGTCATTAAACACACAGGAAATAAGGTTTTCTACTCAGAAAACTAATTCACAAATGGCAATGACTTCATTAAAGGAAAGAAAATCTTATTAAAATAGACAGCAATCAATTGTAAAGTAAGAAAACAGGTACTAAGAGGATTGAAAGGTGAAACAGAAGAGGAAGATGACATATATCGTCTAAATTTCTGCCCTTTAAACCTTTTCAGACCTGCCCCCTAAACACAGAAATCGAGTTTCATTATTAATACGAGCGAAGGTAGATGCTCAGTGTGACTAAAATTCTATCAAAAGCTGTAAACCCCTTCAACAGCCAGACCACTTTCATTATGACAACACTACTTCAGGAGGGTCAATAGAAAGCATTTGAAATAAACCACAAATCACCCAGGACTGCCCCTCAGAGCTGCGGTTGGTAGCTGGCCTCAGCGCCAAGACGTGGGCTCTGGTCTCCTCCCTGGTCCACCTGCTTGGCCTCAGGCGAGTCATCAACTCTCCCACTGGCCATTTGCACGTCCAAGGTGCGAAGGTCAATCGCGAACGCTCCAAGACCTCTCTGCCTGAGTCCTGAGTCGAATCCGCATTAAAACACTAGAAAAGGATGCCCAGCTCCATCGGCCCCCGGGGTTCGGCCCTGGAGTGCTGCCACTCCGACAGGCGTCGCCACCGGGAATCCCCGGACAGCTGCCCGGGCACAGCGCGTCCAGGGCGCGCTCGGG